AGTACAATAACCCCCATCAACCAATCAGAATGAATTTTTCTTTAGTTCAACTCCACTGGCCCAAAATCATATTGATTGCTCTAGGTCAATGGTTGGCTCTGCCAGGCCATGGCCTCCTTTCTCCAGCCAGTTGCAGATCCCTTAACCTACCATAGTACCTCCGACCTCTTATAATTGTCCACAGTGCCCCTTGTCTCCCATAGTGCCACCAAGCCTCCCACAGTGCCCCTCAGCCTGCTCTGGTGCCTTCAGCCCCCTATAGTGCCCCCAACATCTATCAGTGTCCCACAGTGCCTCCCAACTTCCCATGGTGTCTCATAGTCCTCACAATGCTCTCCTGTCTCCCACAGTACCCCTGCAAAACCCCTAGCCTTCGGGCAAGACCTCAGTCCTCTCCAGAAACCTTGTCCCCACAGTGTCCCCAGACCCCATGAGAACCTCAGCCCCCAAATTCAGCCCCAACCTTCCACAGTGCCACGCCCCTTCCAGAAATCTCAACCCCTACAGGGCCACCGAGTCTGCTGAAGTTTCCCCTAACCCCCTCCAGAACCCTCCCCCCATGTGCACCCAGACCCCATGAGAACCCTCAACCCCCAAATTCAGCCCCAATCAAGCTTACAGTGCCCCCCAGCCTGCTGCAGAGCCTTCAGCCCTCCATAGAGTTTCCAACCTCCAACAGTGTCCCTCAGTTCCTTCAAACTTCACACAGTGCCTCCTATCCCCCACATTGCCCTTCTGTCCCCCACAGTATATTTGTGGGAGATAACCCAGCCTCTTCCAGAACTCGCATTCCCCTACAGGACCAACATATCTGTTGGAGTGTGTCAGGAATCGCATGCAGCAGATGCTCATTGTCATGCTCATGTGCAGAATTGTGCACACAGAAACCGAACAAGATGAGCAAGGACTAGAATGCGCACACGGACAAGCATTGGTGCATATATGCGCCCACATCCACAGATCTTGACGCCCAGCAGCCTATTTAACAGAGACTGTAAATATAACTCTATTCAGAAAAAACTAGTGGTGCTTTAAAGGAACCATACCATGCATAGAAAAAAACCTTACAAAAATATGAAATAATTACCCTTTATTAATAAAAATGAGCCATCATAATGGTGGGACATAGCAATTAAACACATTACTTAAAAAGCATATTATGCTCAAACACAATGGATAATCAATATTCCAAAGCGTAGCCTACTAATGCGTATAACAGGTTAACATAGTTGTAGAAATCAATATTCTTGTAGTTGTTTGAACATAGTTGGTACAAGTTAATACTTTGTTGGTTACTCCCGAAGAATTAGTACAGATTGATACTTTGTTGGTCGCTCCAACGCATTTCACAGGGCAAGATCTGCTTCTTCAATGAGCCAAAGTATAAGTTTCTAAAATTAAGCAGAAGTAGGCCCAAAGCATATTATAGATACATAAGCCATTGTAATAATCAAAAATATAAAATAAACATTATCAGCATTTACCGGTTGGTTATATTAATAACATCATGTAAGGCCAATGAAAAACAACCCAAGCACCTGATTCAAACATGGATGGAGAGGACCCCTCAGCCAAAGGCATCAATATCCACCAATCAAGTGGAACGATCAATCCACAAAAAGAATTACATAGTTTAGTCATATAATAAAGAATGTCCCACAACATTCCAAACTACACCCCTACTCCCCAAACTAGTGATAAGTCAAAATCCTACAAGGGGGGGGAAGTAACAAGCAGGGGGAACTGATAACACCATAAACTCTACATTCATGACAGCTTAATAGCATCAGAACAGTTCAATAGTGTTCTTTAGGCACAGAGAACACTAATGACAGGGTCCATTCAGATACATACCATAGCGGATAGTATTCTTAGATGTCCCAATGAGCATCCAAGAAGGCTCCAGAGCAATACTTAAATGGATGTCAAAACAAACCTCCAAATCAAGAGGTGGAAAGAGCATCCCTGTGTCCCAACAGTCTCCTCCAGTGTAGTCCTAGCATCCATCTGCTTATGGCTTACTTTAAATAGCGGTGCACACTGCCAATTGGCAGCATTTGCTCCCTAATGGGCATGTGCGGTGGCGTCATTGACACACGCCAATGACATCACAATGCCCGACGTCAATGCACCGTGCGCTGTGACGTCAATAGAGCACATGATCGCGGCCATCCTAATGAAGCCCATAATCCAAAACACCTTATACCAAGTACATCCATTGCCACCAAACAAGAGGAGCTGAACACAAAAGAACACAGACAGGAGAGGAACTCCAATCAAGAATACTATATCGTATCCAACAACTATAGATCCATTTGGAGCCAGTTGAAAAGGGCAAATAAAAGTGAAAGTATTTTCCAAATCAGCCCACTGTTTGAACTAATGTATACACATCCAATTAGAGCCATAAAAAAGGGAGAGCAATGTACCTAGGATTCAAAAGTCTTAAATTAAGGGTTATGGCACCAGTAAATCCTTCTATCAAGGATCTGGAGACCTTAGGCTTCCATCTCCCACCTTATCCATATTCATTTATTTAAACAGAGAGTTTTCCTGGCTTCAGTGCTGGCTTGTCTTCAGCTCTAGTTCCTATGTTCCTAGTTCTTGAAAGTCTGCTAACCTTGTTCCTGACCGGCTCTGTCTGATACCTCTCTTGGATCACCTCTACCTGTTATGTCTGCTGCTCGCTTGTATTACCGACCTCTGCTTGGATTTCTGATTACTTCTCTGCCTCCTGACTCAGTACCTCGCTGACAGCACGTTACCAACTTCTGCCTGTTTCTGACCTTGAACTTGATCCTGACCCTGCACCTGTCTGCCTTGCTGCTGCTGAACAAGACTTGTGACCAGCCTCCATACTACCACTGCAAGCATTCTCGTACTGCCAAGCTTTTGTCCTCTACAAAAGCTTCTTGGCATCTGTGCCCTTCCACTGCCCTAGCAGTCCCTGTCTCCACTACCAGGGGTTCTTGAATGGGAATTGCACAAGAGGCCACCCTTGTCATCTTGGGCTCCACAGTCAGGTACATGACACAGTGTCTCCTAACTCCCTCCAGAACCCCCTACCCACAGTGGCCCCAGGCCCCATGAGTACCCACAGCCTCCAAATTCAGCCCCAACTTCCCACAGTGCCTCCTAGCTTGCTGCAGAGCCTTCAGACCTCCATAGTGCCCCCAACCTCCAACAGTGTCCCTCAGTATCCTCAATCTCCCATAGTACTTCCCATCCCCTGCAGTGCCCTGGAGATACCCAAACCTCTTCCAGAAATCTCATCCCTTACAGGGACACTAAGTCTGCTGCAGAATCCCCTAACATCTCCATAACCTCTCCTCCACAGTGCCTTCAGGCCCCATGAGAACCCTCAGTCCCCAAATTCAGCTCCAACCTCCCACGGTGCCTCCAAGCGTGCTGCAGATTCTTCAGCCATCTATATTGCCCCAACCTCCCACAGTGCCTCCTATCTCCCACTTTGACCTCCTGTCTCCTACAGTGTCATCTCCTGGAGATACCCCATCCTCTTTCCGAAAGCTCATCCCCTACAGGGCCACCAAGTCTGATGCAGAATCCCCTAACCCCATCCAGAACCCCCACCCCCTCCCAGTGCCCTTGGCCGCATGAGAACCCTCAGCCCCTAAATTCAGCCCCAACCACCCACAGTGCCACCTAGCGTGCTGCAGATACATCAGCCGTCCATAATACTCCCAACCTCCAACAGTGTCCTCAAGTACCTCCTAAACTCCCATCCATTGCAGCTTCCAGTGCCCTCCTGTCCCCTACAGTGTCTTCTCCTAGAAATACTCCAGCCTCCTCCAGAAATCTCATCTGCTACAGGGCCACCAAGTCTGCTGCAGAGTCCCCTACCTCCCCCCCCCCCCCCCCCACAGTACCCCCTGGCCCCATGAGAACCCTCAGCCCCCAAATTCTGTCCCAACCTCCCACAACGCCCCCAGCCTGCTGCAAAGCCTTCAGCCCTCCATAGTGCCCCCAACCTCCTAACAGTGTCCTTCAGTGCCCCCCAACCTCCCACAGTGCCTCCTGTTTCCCACAGTGCCCTCTCCTGGAGATATCCCAACCTCTTCCACAAATCTCATCCCCTGTAGTGCCATATACTCATTTCAGAACCCCTAACCCCACACTGTGAAACCTTCCAGCATTTCAATACATATTTTGCATTCCCATACTTTTATTGTGTGAGTATAATTTTTCTTTTTTGTACGGTTGGGGTATGGAAGGTTTTGGAAGGGGACCACCGCTCTAGGCGATTTTACGTCCTTTCTCACTCTCTCCAATAAAGCTCACGTACTCCGCTGCGTTGTATTTATGCGATGGGTTTTTACGATCCAAAACCTTACGTTTGCAGCCGGAAACTCATGAATATATATTTTTCTAGTAAGTACAGTGGGCAGAATGACAGGTGGAGGGGGCATCTAGTAACCTACAAGAAGAATGTAGTGAAGTGGTCCCTGTCCAGCCAATAGCTGGTCTCTCTGTTTTCACACCCACCAGCAGCACACACATCTTTTTCACCTTGAACAGCATGCTGCACATTCACATGGGATGAGATGACGTCTGCAGGGTGGGGGGGTTGCTGTCAATCAGACCCGCCTGCTGGCGCTGTCCCTTTAAGACGAGGCAGTGAGCTCGCTCGGGCACAGCTCCGCTGGAGAGGATCTGCTAGAGAGCGGACAGAGAGGCTCCGCACAGCGCCCGGCACACCAGCGCCACCTCATCGCCTCCTCTGACGCTTCTTGGCTCAACGTCAACGCGGCACAACTAGTCACATCACGTCCAGTCCGGAGACTTCACCATACCTTCCCGGGCTCACAGCCTCCTCTGTGGAGTAGTAGTAGTAGCAGCAGGCATGCTGGCGGTGATAAGTGGGGTGATCTGCCTGCTAGCCTTCGCCGGGGGCAACACCATCAAGCAGCAGCAGCGGGACAAACGCGGGGGAGCGCTTTGTGTGTACGGCTCTGCCCCCTGATGCCACCCCGGGCTGCCCCATGCAAGGCTTCAGTGCCACTCCGGAGGAAGAGCTGCGATCTACCGTTATCCAGCTCCGGGAGACCATCCTCCAGCAAAAGGAGACCATCGGCAGCCAGAAGGACACCATCCGGGAACTGACTGCCAAGCTGAACCGATGTGAGAGCCTGTCTGAGGATGGCAAGCATGGATCCTGGAAGAAGGTGTCCGGGAAATCAGGGGGCAAGGACACCATGGGCGATCTACCCAGAGATCCCAGCCAGATCATCGACCAACTCAGCCGCACCATGCAATCCCTGAAAGACAGGCTGGAGAATCTGGAGGTAAGTCACTTACTGCTGGAAAACTATATATATATATATATATATATATATATATATATATATATATATATATGAGAAACTTTACAGCATGGGCTCTGTAATCTCACCACCCACCTTACAATCTGATTGTACAATCTTACATCTACCAACTATATGTCCTACAAGGGCCGGTCTGATTGGATACAGATTGCCTGTAGATAGTTTAGGTAGGTCCTCATATTGCATAGGATGGTAAATCCTCCTACATGATACATTGTACAATCACCGTTAGATCAACCAACAACTATGTAGTGCATGGACCTGCCTGATTGGATACAAATTGATTGGATAGATTAGGTAGGTCCTCTGTTACAAAGTGTTGATAAGCTGGGTACACACTATAAGAAAATCAAAAGCAAATTCCCATCTGTGAATGATCAGTTATTTATCTGATCACTAGTATAGTGCTTTTGACAGCTGATTCTGTTCAGACAAAAAAAAAAAAGAAGGTGCAAACTAGAAAATGTTTATTATAGTGAACTCAACTTCCAATTTTAGCTCAATGTGTACAATAATTGTATGGAAATAATCGAATAGAAAAAAATGCAGAAGCACAGATAGACCCGGAAGGAGGCAGCAAAAATAGAAACAGTATGAAAGACAGAACATTTGCCTTTGTCATTCGAGAATTTTCTTACAAGTTAATGTCTTTTTGGGTTACATCACGGTACGCACCTTTGTGGAAAATTGCATGATAGTTTGTCCAATTTTCTCATAGAGTGTACCCCACTTAAGGTTATGTTCACACAACTGAGGCTGCCATTTGATGTGATTTTCAATGCAATTATGTAGTGTGACTTGGTTGTGTTTTTGATGCGTTGTTGAAGCGATTTTGATGCGTTTTGGCCAATGATAAGCATATCTGCTATAACAGATGAAAGAAAAAAAAAAACACTGAAATTGTATACAAAATGCATGAAAATGCATGTAGATATGTTTTTGGTGTATTGCCATTAAAGTCTAATGGCCAGAAATTGTGCTGGAATCATACAAAGGTAGAACCAAATTCCAAAATCGCACCATGCGGAATTACATTGATGTGAATGGGCCACCTTGAAAACAATGTTATGTCCATTGTCATGCAGGTCTGTGCGACTCAAGTCATATCTGAAGTTGCACTGTTCGCAGATATGATCATGTGATTGAATTACACATTGATTAGATTTTTAAAAAAATCCAATAATTTATGGCCATCGTAAGAGTCACTTCACACTGTACTATTTGACTGTAAAAATAACTGGATGTACAAACACTTTGTAATATGAGGACCTACCTAATCTATCCAATCAATCTGTATCCATTCAGGCAGGTTCTTGCACTACATAGTTATCAATAGATCTAAAGCAGATTGTACAATCAGATTGTACTATGTGTGATGAGCTTTAGATTTACCAAAGTGATGTAATATGAGGACCTACCTAATCTGGTTGATCAGTCAGGGCAGAATATTATGGATCATTTGATGCAATTGGCAGCACTGAGATAATTTGTTCATATTGATTGTTTATTTGACTCAATCAGATTATAACTTTACATGGTGTAAACAGAGATGCAATCAATAATTTATGATTGTACATTACAATTGTATCCTAAGTATCAGTTGGAATCAACTTACCCATGCATGTCATATCAATTGAATAGATTGCTGACTATAGATCAATCATTTCTAGCAGAAGAGATCGATCAGAAAAAAAAAAAAAATTATCACAGAGTGTGTGGCCACCCTCAGTCTTTATTCCTTATGGCTAGTATGGTGCAGTAGCATGCTTCTTCAATGGTCGGCATGTTTAAGAGAGTAATACCATTTTCATTCACGTTTACTGGACACACTGTGTGCTTCCCTTCCATTCATACTCCTGGCACAGAGATGCTGATAGAGAAGGGTTTTACAGCACGCTTGGCTCTGTACATAGCTTTGAAACAGAAAGCAATGAGAAAAAGCCAAATTCAGCACCTGGGACAGTTGAGGCAGCTCCTCTATGTGGAAGCATCAGAGACCACCCTGGAGCTGTCTAACGTCCTTAATTACCACCCTCTGCTGAATCACCACCCTGGAGCTGTCCTAGCTCTGAATTACCACCCTCTGCTGAATTACCACCCGGGAGCTGTCCAAAGCCCTGAATTACCACATTGTGCTGAATTACCAACCTGGAGCTGTCCAAAATACTGTATTAAAACCCAGTGCTGAAATACCACCCTGGAGCTATCCTAGCTCTGAATTACCACCCGGGAGCTGTCCAACGTTCTGAATTACCACATAGTGCTGAATTACCACCCTGGAGCTGTCCAAAATCCTGTATTACCACCCAGTGCTGAAATACCACCCTGGAGCTGTCCAAAGTCCTGATTTACCACATAGTGCTGAATTACCACCCTGGAGCTGTCCAAAATCTTGAATTACCACCCAGTGCTGAATTGCCACCCTGGAGCTGTCCAAAGTCCTGAATTACCACCCAGTGCTGAATTACCACCCTGGAGCTGTCTTCATTCATTGCCTGTGTGTGTAGTCACTGTATTCAGTACCCTGTATTAAACGAAGCAACATATAGTATACAGATTAGGGACCTTGTCATTTTGGATAGTTGCATAAATTGCTGGCATTATCATTTCTCATGCTTTATAGGTCATTAGTGCTTAACAAGTAAAATCTTCAAAAACTGCTGATATCACGTTTAGCAATTTTGTATATCAGATATAGTTGATAGTGTGTTGATTTAAAGCTGTAATTATACATTGGTTCTACAAAGAGAATGAATTCAGTGGGCAGGTAAGGATGTTATGGTGTATGGTATATTAAGAGAAAAGCAAATACATATCTAAAGAGGGTATATAGAATATACATATATGGGAGACAAATGAATAGATAGGGGGATAGATGGATGGATGGATAGATAGATAGATAGAGATAGATAGATAGATAGATAGATAGATATTCCAAAGGGTAGCCACCACACTCTATTTGTGAGTAAAATACCCAGGTTCTCATCCATCCCACAAAGGGACAAAAGTAGCACCCTTAACTTAATAGATAGATAGATAGATAGATAGAAAGATAGTCCCAAGGGTAGCCACCACACTATTTGTGAGTAAATTGTCCACCCCACAAAAAAGCAATCTTTCATCAATTTTTCCTCATCCGTCCCACGACCAGGGAGATTAGCTACAGTGCCATGGGTTGCAAACTTCTTGATAACTGTTGCGCACTGTGGACAAAGGCAAATCTAGTTCTCTGGAGATGGACTTGTAACCTTGAGATATCACAGTTCTCGTCTCCTCCTTTCTGTTGTCCATGCTTAGTTGCACAGGTCAGACACTCAATGCAAGGTTAACGTGATAGATAGATAGATAGATAGATAGATAGATAGATAGATTAGAGAGACGACCCCAAGGGTACCCACCACACTATATTTTTGAGTTTGTGAGTTAAGTGCCCAGTGTTTACCTACAAAGAGAGATAGATGATAGATGATAGATAGATAGATAGATAGATAAATAGATAAATAGATAGATAGATATATAGATATATTTTGCAATACTTACAATGCCCTATGATCCAAAGTGCAGGAATTAGCAACATTTAAATGAATACCTTTTTGTTAATATCTTTTATGTTTATTAGCATCTGTTGACACATTTATTAGCTATTTATTAAGATTCTTAGAGCTATAATAGAAGCTCTAATGTACAGTAATGATATAACATTTATTTCTGGTAATATTTTTAGGAAGGGTGATGAATATGTTTCTATGCTCTTATAAATATTGAGATGTTTGTCATTGATTATCTAAAATTTGTTGCACTATAAGGTTTTGTAACTTAAAATGTCAGTTTAACATTTGCAGGTTAACAGTTGTTGCATGTTGCCTGTGGTCACTGATAAAATCTAAAATAATCCGTGTATATATCACAGACAAAGATTTGATACCATAGTTATATTGATTGGTCGTGTTGGGATAAACTGCAATATTCTAATTTTCTTGAGCCTTGTGTTTAGAGCAGGTCTATAGCAACATGGCTACATGAAATGCTTGGATGCAGCTACTTAAATAGGGCAACCCAGGATAATGTCTTGCTGTGTTGTGTACTCATTATTTTCCATAAACCTCGTAACTCTCCTGGGTATGCGTTAATTCCCTGTGAGTGGCATAGTTATTTCAAATGCCTTCTAAAATTGTAAGTACATCATAATCCTTGGCATAATCACACATGTAGGAATGCGAGCCAATATGGGCACAAAACCATGGATAGTACACTTTTGTTCATTGATATTCCTCATACATCATTCATAACTATATTGCAGTATTGGCAAGTGTGCACAGACTAGACTACCATAGGAGTAAAACCACCAGTCAGATGGTGAAAATGTATTGAAGGTGATTTCCTATGGCTGCACAGGACTTGTTCCTTGGTGCCTCAAGCGGTTAATTCATTTGATGAGGGGTATGCCAAGAATGCATTGCAGGGAGTATTGTGAATTTGGATATCTAACCTCCCTATCAGATGCCTAATTGATTTGTCTTTTCTTTTTGTTGAAGCATCAACTGAGATCCAATGTGTCCTATTCAGCTCTGCCTAATGATCTTCGAGAGATGCTCCAGAGGAGGCTGGGGGACCTGGAGCACCAGCTTTTAAACAAAGTGGCTGAACTAGAAGATGAGAAATCCGTGCTTCATAATGAGAGTGCAGCACATAGGCACAAAACAGAGTCCGCCCTCACTGCACTCCTAGAAAGAGTTAGTGAGCTTGAGAAAGGTAATTTGGTACAAGAATGATCAATAACAGCACATTCAGCTGTATTTAAAATCATACAGACTTCATTAGTAATACAAAGTGCACAGAGGATGTACAAAGGGTAGTAAACTATAGAGACCAACACATTTCATCATTCACTGATCTGAGCAAAGTAAGCTGACGTTTGTTCAGTTGCAATGATGTATTCCCCTTTGCCCATGGTCAATGTTCTTTGAACTGTCTTAATGAATATACATAAAGGAGCAATGCTGAGCTTTAATCTATTGCAACTAGTAAAATTTAAACTGGCAGTACTTGTGTGTGGTCAGGATGAAATTTGGCTTCTGACTGTCTGCAATGGTTGGTTGCCCATAGCTAGATCCTTATGGTGGTTTATCTTTCTGTAGGCTGGGTTCACATCTATGTGATGTGCCAGCACCTCTGAGTTGCTGCACGGGCTGCCCATCACATCTAAGTCCACCAGAAACATACATGACCTTTTTTTCCCTAAATCAACTTGTACCACAAAACATGTACATTTACTATGCATTGTGGTGGGATGCAACACATGTATGATGTCTGGGTGCATTGGGGTGCCATTGAGGCTTTGCTCACACCTTGCAGGTGTGACCTGGTGCAAATGCTTTTTTGCACATTTCCAAGCATTTCTGCACATCACATCTAGGGCAGCCCATTAAAGTATATGCAAACCCTCACCTTGTAAAACAACCCATTCAGGTTAACATAAAAATGAAAGGCAAAACATTTATATATACAGTTGTGCTCAAAAGTTTGCATACCCTGTCAGAAATTGTGACATTTTGGCATTGATATTGAAAATATGACTGATCATGTCAAAAAAATGCTCTTTTATTGAAGGATGATGATCATATGAAGCAATTTATTATCAAATAGTTGTTTGGATCCTTTTTAAATCATAATGATAACAGAAATCACCCAAATGACCATGGTAAAAAGTTTACATACCCTGGAATGTTTGGCCTTGGTAGAGACACACAAGGTGACACACATGGGTTACAATGCCAATTAGAGGTTAATGTTCCACATCTGTGGCTTTTTAAATTGCAATTAGTGTCAGTGTATAAATAGTAAAAGAGTTTGTTAGCTCTTACCTGGAAGCACTGACTAGGCCAGATACTGAGCCATGGGGATCAGAAAAGAACTGTCAAAAGTCCTGCGTAACAAGGTAATGGAACTTTGTAAAGATGGAAGAGGACAAAAAAAGATGTCCAAAGCCTTGAATATGCCAATCAGTACTGTTAAATCAACTATTAAGAAGTGGAAAGTTCGGGGATCTCTTGATACCAAGCCAAAGGCAGGTTGGCCAAGAAAGATTGCAGCCATAACTGACAGAAGAATTGTGAGGCACATATCGGGAATATGAAATGTTGGGTCTTTAATTCCAGTGGGCTGCCCTACATGCGAGAAATGTACAAAAGAAGTGCCTGACATAATTTTAAAATCTCAAACCAAAACACATGGTACTGTGCACATTTCAGCATCACAGAAGTGTGAATAAACCCTAAGAAATAATGTCCTTGCAGCTCATAATACAGTGATACATGATCTTGGGGCAATGAAGGCCAGAAATACAAAGAGTCCAGTGCGCTCCATACAGCAATGAGACCCAGTCATTGGAGGGTGAAATGATGAATAGAACTTCAAAAGATCAAGCCTAACCCAAGATACGAGCAACCATGATCAGATAAACAGACAGGACATGCAAGTGTCACCAATGGAAAGCAGAGAGGTTTCAAGGCCACTGGAGTCCTCTTCCTCAGGCAGCAGCCTAGTAGACTTGAAACATTGCTGCTTTCTGTTGGTGACATTAAAGTGTCTTGTCTGTCTGGACATGGTGTGTTGGTGATATCTTGGATTGGACTTGTGGGATGCAGAAACGTGAGTGGAGCACAGCCCTATAGAAAAACTAAAAAATATATTGAAATATGGAGGCTGCCATTGCTAACCTCCTTCTGAAAATGCTACTTGTCTGGCTGTTTTTTAGTACTTTCTTTGACCAAGCAAACAGCCAGTTTAATCACAGATCAAAGTTCCTCCTCTGCATACTTTTTGTGGAGCGATGTTTAAAAAAAGTGTTGAAGCCGTTAAATCAGCATAACAGCATGGCATTCATTTTCAGCAGACAGCTGTAAACGTGCACAAAACTGCGCCATGCATATGCACATTGTTTGTGCATTTTTGCACCACATGCATAGAGCAGCCCTATGTGTTACATGTAAAAACGTGCAGCGCTAAAAAAAAAAAGAAAACATATATATATATTGCAGAATGGTAAAGTGCAACACATAAAAGTACAAAAAACATTAGTAAATGCGAAATCTAAAAGTCAAACAATATGGTAAAGTGCATCATAAATGTAATGAGCTGAGTGAAACAGTAAAGTGCATCAAGTAGAAGCATGAAAATATCAGCTAAACAGCTCAAAAAGCAAATGCCAAACAATAAAGTGTATCACAGGCAGAATCTAAATACAATAATGTCTGTGGTGATCCGTGAAGTAAAGTGCAGTAGTAAATGATGTTACAATAAACATATAAAATCTGAGATCTATAAATAGGATAAAACTCTACATCAATGTCCATGGTTAAAAGTGCTATTTATATAGTCAAATATCCATTAATGGAAGCAATTGTCCGTGAAACCACAAGGCACAGTATAATTAAGGTGCAGAGTGCAAATGTGCTGATAATCTACCGCCTCTCTCGGATGTATACTCACCAGATGAAAACTGGTAACAGGCAATCAAGCATTAAACATCTGAGAATGGAAGGTGGCCAAAGGGTTAAACCAGACCATATATGTCCTGGGCACTCGGATGGGAAGTCAGCCCTTGTCCTAGAGGGAATAGCTCACCACAGGAGCCAATAAAGTTGCATGTACTGTAGTATTTATTAGAACATTAAAAAACATCCACGTGGAGATGGAAATCAAAAAGCATAAAAAGTGTACCAAGATGGCCACCGCTCTGACCATCGGCAGCATCGGCGTGATGTCAGTAAATGGTGGATCCACCCAATGCGTTTCGTGCACATGCATGTCCTCAGGAGTATGCCTATTGCAGTTTTCATCTGGCAAGTGTACATCTGAGAAAGGTGGTGGATTCTTTTGTGTGATCATCAGCACATTTGCACTCTGCACCTTAATTATACTGCGCCTTATGGTTTCACGGACAATTGCTTCCATTTATGGATATTTAACTATATAAATAGCATGTTTAACCATGGACATTGATGTAGACTTTTATCCTATTTATATATCTCAGATTTTATATGTTTATTGTAACATCATTTGCTACTGTACTTTACTTTACGGATCACCATGGACATTATTGTGTTTAGATTTTGCCTGTGATACTCTTTATTGTTTGGCATTTGCTTTTTGAGCTGTTTAGCTGATATTTTCATGATTTTACTTGATGCACTTTACTGTTTCACTCAGCTCATTACAATTATGATGCACTTTATCATATCGTTTGACTTTTAGATTTCGCATTTAATAATGGTTTTTTGCACTTTTATGTGTTGCACTTTACCATTCCACAATATATATACAGTATATATATATATATATATATATATATATATATATTTATTTTTTTTAGCGCTGCACTTTTTTACATATACTATTGTAGGGGATTGTTACCTTCACCTTGTGTGCTCGCTACTCCCAGATATCACAGCGCTCACCTATATATTAGATTCTGTTACCTATGTGTTACATGCTTGGATTTCCATTAACAATGAACGGTAACATCTGTTTGATGCACTTTTTTTTGCGCATTTCACAAATGTGTGCACATCATGCATTTTGTTGTGCATGTTCACAAAATGTAGAAGGACTGTAAAGTACGTGTTTGCCTTTGCAACCCAGCACAATACTCTAAGGCACTGTTACATATTCAGTACTCCAGTATCATCAAACTGTATGCTTTTAGAGTTTGTACTCTTCCCTTCAAGTATTATTTGTCATCAGCATTTCAGTCCGTTCTAAGATAGTGGGATGTTTTTACTAAGCAGCACAGGGGATTACTTAACAAAGGTAGGCCACATAGCCTTTAGCATTGTAGGAGTAGAGCCTCTGGTCCTGAATTCAGATGTTTGTTTGGCATATCTAATTCTCAACTGTGAGTACATCAAAGGGTGTCCATGACTGTATGGACAAAGAATAAAAAATATTAAGAAGCTGTGCATGAAAATGGTGCTTTTGTTGCACATGAGGATGTATTTATTGTTCCTACAATAATGTGATAAGATATAGAAATATGTATGTATATATACTAAGGCAACCCTAACCCTAAGGCGATGTCATTAACATTTAAAAAAAAAATCATTGTGTTCTTTTCTGTATAATCAGGCCTTTACTGTGTTATTTTGTGCCAATCACATCTAAAAAAAAAAAAGCGGCTAGCAACAAAATCTAAAATGAAAGCAGTATTAAACACAAAGGCAAACATTTATTATATTGCAGCTTATCAACTCTTAAATGTGATGGCTGTATTAGTTTTCTTTTTTAGGCTTTCCTTCTTTTATTTTCACTTGGTGATCTGGCCAGTAAGTCTGTTGTTTTTTTTCAACAGAACAAGCTGTCCTGCAAATATAGCAAGAAAGTTGGGATACACCATTTACCACTGACAGGTGTGCTTACAATGTTAAGCGTTTATTCATTTATGTAAAACCTTTATCCCAAAAGAAAAAGAAAACTGTTTCTGTGACTGCTTGTAAAGTGTGAGCTAGAGTTTGGTTTCAGTTTGTTAGTGTAATTAATCTTCAGGTACATCTAATAATCCCCTCCCCCCAAGAATAACAACGTTGCTGTCCAAGGGTGGCCCCTGTGCTCTAATACAGGAGGTGTGTTACTGGCCAAATTACCAGATGAAAATAGAAGGAAAAAAGCATAAAAAAAGAAAAGTAATGCCGCCACAACATCTAATGATTGGTAAGTTGCAATATATTACATTTTTGGTTTGGGGTTAATTACTA